ATGCTATTTGGGACGCCGAAATGACTATCCACCCACGTCCAACTGTACTGGACCGCACTCTCTCCATCTCTCCCTCCATCCATGTCATAGTTTTTTTCTCGCTTCCTCTCTTTTCCTTTTCACCTCAGGTTGAAAAAAAAAAAGAAAAAAGAATATGTGAATTTTTGTTTGTTGAAAATGGTTTGGGTTTGTACGTTTCTAAAGAGACAATCAACATCTCTCTCCGGGGTTGCTGCTATTCTTATGTTCTATTTCAGGGAGTTGTGTGGGTTTTTTATTTTTCTCTGTCATTGGCTTTAGTACGCCACACTCTACAGATACAAACAGACTCACAAATATATAGAGAGATGGGGCCTATACACAATCATAAGTTGTATGAAAGATTTAACCAATTAAACACTTTATTGTCCAATTGTACGTAGGGTCTGATGGAAATGTGACCCTGTATGTTCTCCCATTAATTGTTATTGATCTGCAGTTGTGATTTGAACTGGCTCCAAACTGCATTTTAATGGATTGATTGACAGCCAGTCGCAGGAGACTGTGGGTCCTCTGGCCCACAGAGAGAGGGAGAGCTAGAAAGCGGGATAGAGCGATGGAGAGACAGAGCGAGAGCGTGAGAGGAGGGAGGGAGCGAGAAGTAAAGAAAGGGAGCGAGAGGGGGGTGAGCGAGAGAGCGCAGCAGAGAGAGATTGAGAAACAGAGATTGAGAGGGATGGAGAGCGAGAAGGACAATGAGACAGAGTGGGAGAAAGAGAGCGAAATCTCCATCCTCCTTCCAACTGCCGTGATTCACTCATCCGTAGCTACCCACCGATGATTTGTTCCCTGTAATTATACCTTGCGAGCTTGGTCAGGAAAACGTTATTCTTAAATCCCCACTCGATGCGGGCGTAATCATTTAAACCTGTTGTCTGGCTTGTCTTAGGGACGCCGCCTGTAATTGAAACATTAGTGCTTCTGGTCTATATGTGGCTGGTGGGCCTGTGTGCGCCCCACGTTCCCAGTTTATCACACGCCTTGATCAGAGACTACACACTCAGGAGTTTGTGTGTGTGGTGTGTGAGAGTAAGTGAAAGAGAGGGGGTGTGTGTGTGTATCTGTCTCATTTGTGTGGGTGTGTGTTTTGTGTGAGTCCAGCATCTCTAGTGTTATTGACTTGCCTCCTGAGTGATGCCAGGGCTCAAGAACCCATGCGTGGTTTCTTACTCAATACGATGTAGACTCAATACGTGATATGTACTTACAGCCTTGTTGCCTGTGAACAGATGTGAAAACGAATGGAAGCATTTGCTTGAAGATATTGAGCGCTTTCATTAATGTTTCAGTGATGAAGGCGGTAGGATTGGTGGGTAGCTGAGGTGTGTGTGCTCCATTAGGGTTGGGTGATATATTCTAATGTATGTTTTTTGCGCGATATTCCAAATGCCTGTATCGCAAGAATTGAGGTTTGTTTTATTTTTTGAGCGTTTATGTCCGCTTGTTCTCATGTTGTCTTTTTGGTCTCGTCTCCTTACGGCGGTGAGACGAGATGCTTATGTCGCCGCCCTAACAGTTGGAGTCGTTGCCCCAAATGCGGGAAGGCAGACTTCTCGCTTCGCCTCTTCATCTCTGTTTACACACACACCAAGCCCCTCCCCCTGCCACTTACAACAACAAAGATGAGCGATCACTTCTACCTCTCTGACAAGCTGTTTCAACTCGCTAATTGCATTTGAGGTTTGGTCCAACAGAATCGGTCAAATGGACACCGAAACACATTGAGACATTATTTTACTGTAATAGGGGAGACGTTAACCTTTCTAACGATACCCTTTTTATGTCTCAACTCTTCAAATTGCGAGCAGACACTACTAAAACGGGAGTATCAACACTGATTCTGGCAAATTAATGCTCATTTTATATTGCGCGGCATTGCTAGCAGCAATTTAGCCAAAGACTGTTATACTAGCTGTCTAGTCTGTGTTTTATAAATGTGCAATAAGCATAAAACACAATTAAATAAGGATTTGGCAACTCGTTCTCATTCTGAGAAATAAGGTAGGCCACTTGATTTTAACATCTGAACAAAGTGGACAGGCAGCTGTTCAAACAGTTGGAGACGGACAGGGGGGTGTGTTCATAACAATTCAACTATTCTGCCTTGTTAACTAGCAAATAGATCCAAGTTTGCAAAACTTGAAGTCTATAGATTAGCTGGCTACTCACTAGCATGTGGGCTTGTGCTTGAGAGATTGTTTGGGAACTGTGTTAATTTTCTATAATTCCTGCTACAATAAGTTAGTCATTGTTAGTGAATGTGCATTATGCGTGGTTCTGATTTTAAATTTGTAACAAAAAGGGCATTTTAATAGACCGACTTGAAAGCCAGATCAGTGATTATTGTAAAAAAGCAGGTTAAACTATTTTTATAAAATAATTACATTATTATTTAATATTATGGTTGTGGGAGGCTTATATTTAGCCGAGGGATAATTTCGCAAGCCCTGAATTCATTAGATTATTTCGGACTGTTTTATGTGCAGGGTATTTTACCTTTAATTGTACAACACAGCTTATTAGAGAAAACATAAACAAATAAAAAAAAGTATATTGTGAATCGGCCGTAAGTGTGGCTAACCTCACTTGGAATGGATCCTATCTTTAAAGGTTGATCTGTTTTCCACTTCAGAAATCCCTTATGACAGACAACGTCACCGGCTGTCATTTCTCTGTCTCTGTCCTTCTCTCTCTCTCTCCCCCTGTCTCTCTACGGAATGACTCACCCAATATGACACCAATACCAATCTGGGTCCTGACGACCTGTCTCCCTAGCAACCAGCCCATCTCCCCGGCGTTAATGCAACGTTCTCCTTCACTGTCAGTCCTGTTGTTTGGAGCCCACAGCATGGCACACAGCGAGACTAAGTGACCGAAAGGGAGGAACACACAGCACAAATGCATATCTCTCTCCACAGGCCGAGGAAAAGGAGGGCACTGTCTGTCAGTGTGGGGCAATGGGAGCTTCCAAATGTGTGTTTTTCGTGAGTGTGCGTGTGTGCGTGCCTTCTCAAGACCCCTGGTGTTCTAATGGTCTTTGAGGAGACCTCTGTGCTCAGAACGACAAGCTGCTGACTCTTTCAGGCCGCATCTCAAATGGCAACCTATTCCCTACATAGTGCTTTGGTCAAAAGTAGTGCACTATGTAGGGAATAGGGTGCCATTTGGGATGCAACCACAGTCAGTCAGACACCAGGCAGCAGATGTTTCCGGCTGTGTCTGAAATGGCACCCTATTCCCTACATAGTGCACTATTGTAACAGGCACACTATTCCGAGTGCCTTTGTAAAGGATTCAGACCCTTTGACTTTTTCCACATTTTATTAGGTTACAGCCTTATTCTAAAATTGGTTAACTTGTTTTTTTCCCCTCATCAATATACACACAATACCCTTTAATGACAAAGCAACAACGGGTAATTAAAATAAATAAATAAATGGAAATATGATATTTACATAAGTATTCAGACCCTTTACTCAGTACTTTGTTGATTACAGTGATTACAGCCTTCATTATTCTTGGGTATGACGCTACAAGCTTGGCACACCTGTATTTGGTGAGTTTCTCCCATTCTTCTCTGCAGATCCTCTCAAGCTCTGTCAGGTTGGATGGGGAGCGTTGCTGCACAGCTATTTTCAGCTCTCTCCAGAGATGTTTGATTGAGTTCAAGTCTGGGGTCTGGCTGGGCCACTCAAGGACATTCAGAGACTTGTCCCGAAGGCACTCCTGCGTTGGCTTGGCTGTGTGCTTAGGGTCGTTGTCCTGTTGGAAGGTGAACCTTCGCACCGGTCTGAGGTATTGAGCACTCTGGAGCAGGTTTTCATCAAGGATCTCTCTGTACTGTGCTCTGTTCATCTTTGCGTCGAGGCTGACTATTCTCCCAGTCCCTGCCTCTGAAAAACATCTCCCCTGCATGATGCTGCCACCACCATGCTTCACCATAGGGATGGTGCCAGGTTTCCTCCAGACGGTGATGCTTGGCAATCAGGCCAAAGAGTTCAATCTTGGTTTCATCAGACGAGAGAAAATGGTCTGAGAGTATTTAGGTGCCTTTTGGCAAACAACAAGTGGGATGTCATGTGCCTTTTACTGAGGAGTTGCTTCTGTCTGGCCACTCTACCATAAATGCCTAATTGGTGGAGTACTGCAGAGAGGGTTGTCCTTCTGGAAGGTTCTTCCATGTCCACAGAGGAACTCAAGAGCTCTGTCAGAGTGACCATCGGGTTCTTGGTCACCTCCCTGACCAAGGTCCTTCTCCCCCGATTGCTCCTTTTGGACAGGCGGCCAATTGTAGGAAGAGTCTTTGTGGTTCTAAACTTCTTCCATTTAAGAATGATGGAGGCCACTGTGTTCTTGGGGACCTTCAATGCTGCAGAAATGTTTTGGTACCCTTCCCCAGATCTGTGCCTCGACACAATCCTGTCTTGGCGCTCTACGGACAATTCATTCGACCTCATGGCTTGGTTTTTGCTCTGACATGCACTGTCAACTGTGGGACCTTGTATAGACAGGTGGGTGCCTTTCCAAATTGTGTCCAATCAATTCAATTTACCACCGATGTACTCTAATCAAGTTGTAGAAACATCTCAAGGATGATCAATGGAAACAGGATGAGCTCAATTTCGAGTCTTTGTGTTTTTAGTACATTTGCAAATATTTCTAAAAAACCTGTTTTTGCTTTGTCATTAAGGGGTATTGTGTGTAGATTGGTGAGGAAATTGTTTTCTTTAATCTGTTTTAGAATAAGGCTGTAACGTAACCAAATGTGGAAAAAGTCAAGGTGTCTGAATACTTTCCGATGCACTGTAGTGCACTACTTCAATATGGTGCCATTTGGGACACAGCCTTACTGTTATTGTATCTCCATCCATGGAGGTATGAAGGCCTCTCAAAGTGCTTTCACCCAGTAACCTCTCTCCCCCCTCTTTGTCTCTCTTTCCATCTCTCCTCCCATTTTATAGGACCTACGAGAAGTGTGGCTCAACTACCCGCCCCATCCTCTGCAGGTTGGTTGGAAATGATCCATTTTGTCTGTTTGTCCCTACAATGTATAGCTCAGAATAGATATTGTATGTACACTGCATGACCAAAAGTATGTGACAACCTGCTCGTCAAACATCTCATTCCAAAATCATGGGCATTAATATGGAGTTGGTCCCCCCTGGAACTTGGTAGTGAGTGTTGCAACGGAGGACAGAAGATTTTTACATGCTAAGCACTTCAGAACTCGCAGGTCCCGTTCTGTGCGCTTGTGTGGCCTACCACTTCACAGCTGAGCCGTTGTTGCTCCTAGACGTTTCCTCTTCACAATAACAGCACTTACAGTAGCAGGGCAGAAATTTGACGAACTGACATGTTGGAAAGGTGGCATCCTATGACGGTACCACGTTGAAAGTCACTGATCTCTTCAGTAAGGCCATTCTACTACCAATGTTTCTCAATGGAGATTTCATGGCTGTGTGCTCGATTTCATACACCTGTCAGCAAAAGGGTGTGGCTGAAATAGCCAAATCCATTAATTTGAATGGGTGTCCACATACTTGTGTAAATGTTGCTAAGACTGTAGAAGACGTCTGTGTGTCTGTCGTGTGCCTACAGCAGACAGGGCTCGTTGTGTGTATAGGTGCAGCAGGCGGTGTGTGGTCCTCTCTATTCTCTAGCTGCTGTTTCTGCTCTTTCTCTTTCTTACTGTTACCCAGACACTCTCTTGCTCTTTCATGCTCCGTCTCTGTTTCTCGCTATATTTTATTATCTTTCTTTCTCTCCTCATACTGTCTCATTCTTTCTCTCTACTATTCTCTCTCTCCCTCTCTTCCCCCCTTGCTTTGCATGATCTGCCTAGAAACATTGGGTGTAGAGAGAAGAGCATGTTTATTTGAAATCAGGATTTGGGAGAAGAGATCAAAGATGGTGTAACAGGATTATTCTGCAGTCACAAATCACATGGGGCCTCCAGGGACCCAAATGCTGCTTATGTGTGGGTGTGCGCCATAGTGTGTTGTTGTGTGTCAGTACAACTTATTTTCTTTGTTTTACCAAAAGGTTCCTGCCGCTCATTCTTGACTTGTTACTAGCGTCTAACGACGGTAGCTGGTGGTAATTTCAGCCATGCCCTTCCCACCAGCAGCCTTGGAGGTCAGGGTCAGGGTAGAGCCTTGGAGTCAATCCCACAATACTCAGCGGTCCGGGAGGGACCACTGCTGGGTAATTACGAGGTTTAGAGCAAAAGGCCATCCTTCCATCTCTCCATATTTCCACCCTGATTCAGTCTGCTGTGGGTCTCCTCCTACTTACCTTACATGGCTGGCTTAGTTTATGGACGCTTGATTTCAATGACCTTTGACATGAGTTAATAATTTTACGATAAGAACATTATTTAAGTGAAGACATATGTTTTTGGTTATGTTGGTGAAGTTGGTTAGCAGAGGCACTCTCTCTGACCTTAAAGGGTTACTAGGTGCCTCTTTCGCTCTCTTAGCCTCAAGGGTTACCAGTTGTCTCGCAGCCTCAAGGGTAACCAGATGTCTTTCAGCCTAAAGGGTAACCAGGTGTTTCTTTCTCTCTCAGCTTAAAGGGTTACTAGGTGCCTCCCTCTCTCAGCCTACAGGGTTACAATATGCCCTTTGGCTCCAGGAAGGACATGAATGCGGATGAGTTAGTTAGCTGAAAGAGATTCACCAATAATGAGGTCCAGGCTTATGGTGATGCAAAGCCATCTCCAGGATCCTGTTCTGTAGTAATTGTGTGTTCGTGCTCCTCTGTTTCTGTTGGCCCATGTGCTACATTAGCATAAGCACCATGGCTAAGTGCTGCCTGCGCTGTGCTGCGCTCCGGGCTCAGTCAGTCTGTGGAGAGTGAACAGAGCAGAACGGTTCCTTGTTGACAACATGCACATCTTCATGTCCTCCCTCTTCCCTTCTGCTCTCTCTCTCTGCACCAGCCTCATCACCCCCCTCGGCTCTCTGAAATCATTTACCACTGTGTCATTCACGGCCACACGCAACGCAAACTTAACATCCCCTTTTGGTTCAGTGTGAATGAGTATGAATATGGAGACTGACTACTTTCCATGCTTTAGGTCAGGACTGTGAGACCCAGAGAGCTCAGAGAGTAGTGATGGGGGACAACATCTATAGTTGCTTATCGCAACGTTATTTTTGGACTATATTATATTGATATTTGACTCCGTTAGCTAGCGCAAGTCGGCTGTTTTTCAGCACTTTTATTCCCATGTCTGGTCAAAACCCGTTTTCTCATGTCTCTCTGCAGCAGCCATATAAGGAGCAGTATGTTTAGGACATCATATTGCAATAAAATCACAATATTGAATCGCAATACATATTGTATCAGTACCTAAATATTGGGACAATATCGTATCGTGAGGTCGCTGGCAATTCCCAGACCTATCAGAGAGGCAGCTGGGCCGGAGTGTGCTCAAATTTACACTTTGAATTGAAAGGGGATACCTAGTCAGTTGCACAACTGAATGCATTCAAACAAAATTTGTCTTGCGCATTTAACCCGGTCGGTTTTCCACATGTTTTTATTTTTCATGAATGATTTCGATTTTTCCTTTTGAAATGTTGCTAGCAGGCCAGTCATCATTCCCTTAGAAAAACTCCACAGAAAAAATGTGTCAAACTAAATGCCAGACTAAAAATATGTGTTTGTGTGCTACAGTGTTATGAATGCTGGACTCGTCAAATGCCGTTAGTGGTGACGCATGACATTTAAACAGTTGTCGTTAATTAAGAGGAAGGCAGATGTGAAAGTCTTCTTTGGGGCTAAAGTGGGAAGACGGAACCATGACATTTCCAGCAGCCGTCCAATTAAAATGTAGAGTTGGCAACCAACCACTCTGTCTGTTTGACACTTGGCGTCTAGCTATTCCACCACTGCTTAGTCTATATTTCTTAAATGAAAGCAGACACAAACTCAATGGAACAATCAGCAATGTTTACTGTTGTCCAGTGCTCATTGGAATATATACTGTGTGTACAAAACATTAGGAACCCCTGCTCTTTCCATGACATAGACTATCCAGGTAAAGGCTATGATCCCTTATTGATGTCACCTGTGAAATCCACTCCAATCAGTGTATATGAAGGGGAGGAGACATGTTAAATAAGGATTTTTAAGCCTTGAGACAATTGAGACATGGATTGTGTATTTGTGCCATTCAGAGGGTGAATGGGCAAGACAAAATATGTAAGTGCCTTTGAAAGAGGTATGGTAGTAGGTGCCAGGCGCACCGGTTTGAGTGTGTCAGGAACTGCAATGCTGCTGGGTTTTTCACGTTCAACAGTTTCCCGTGTGTATCAAGAATGATCCACCACCCAAAGGACATCCAGCCAACTTCACACAAGTGTGGTAAGCATTGGAGTCAACATGGGCCACCATCCCTGTGGAAAGCTTTAGATACCTTGTAGTCCATGCCCCGTCGAATTAAGGCTGTGCAACTCAATATTAGGAAGGTGCTCCTAATGTTTTTACACTCTGTGTATATACACACTCAGGATTGTGACTAACTGTACTGTACAGTATCATATCAGGCAGACATCTGGAGTTGAGAGAGACTCTTATAGAAAGTTTACATACATTTTGTACTAACCTACTTACAGTACAGTGTTTTATACATGTGAAGCCAACAAAGCTAACAAGGTCAATTGGGTGGTGTATATTACGCATTAATGTCTACATTAAATGATGACTACATCCCAAATGGGACCCTATTCCCTATATAGTACACTATTTTGACCAGGGCCCATAGGGCTTTATGTTTCTCCTGTCAAAAGTAGTGCACTATATAGGGGATTAGGTGTCCTTTGGGATGCAGAAAATGTAACTGAATGGTTGTTTCCAGTTAGGGAATTGTATTGTCAAACCTCCATCAGCAGCAAGCCAGAGACCGCTTAGATACTGCTCTCTACTAGAGGCTGATGGATGCATCTATTAGGCCTAGGATCTCTGCTGATTTAACACACACACACAGCCCTCTCCTGATTTAACACATGCGTTCTAGCATATTCCTTCCCCTTATAAGTGAGATCATTATTATTATGCAGTGATCAAATCAAATGTTATTTGTCACATGCGCCGAATACAACAGATGTAGACCTTACAGTGAAATGCTTACAAGCCCTTAACCAACAGTGCAGTTATAAGAAAGAATACCAAAAAAAAATGCAATATAAAATAATACGTAATAAAAGTAACAAATAATGAAAGAGCAGCAGTCAAAATAACGATGGCGAGGCTATATACAGGGGGTACCGGTACCGAGTCAATGTGCAGGGGCACCGGTTAGTCGAGGTAATATGTACACTACCGTTCAAAAATGGGGGGTCACTTAGAAATGTCCTTGTTTTTTGAAAGAAAAACAAAACATTTTGACCATTAAAATAACATCAAATTGATCAGAAATACAGTGTAAACATTGTATGCTTGGAGTATACATCCTGGTAATCCGCCTGGCCCTGCGGCCTTGTGAATGTTGACCTGTTTAAAGGTCTTACTCACATCGGCTACGGAGAGCGTGATCACACAGTCGTCCGGAACAGCTGATGCTCTCATGCATGTTTCAGTGTTACTTTCCTCGAAGCGAGCATAGAAGTAATTTAACTTGTCTGGTAGGCTCGTGTCACTGGGCAGCTCGCGGCTGTGCGTCCCTTTGTAGTCTGTAATAGTTTGCAAGCCCTGCCACATCTGATGAGCGTCGAAGCCGGTGTAGTACGATTCGATCTTAGTCCTGTATTGACACTTTGCCTGTTTAATGGTTTGTTGGAGGGAATAGTGGGATTTCTTATAAGCTTCAGGGTTAGAGTCCCACTCCTTGAAAGCGGCAGCTCTACCATTTAGCTCAGTGCGGATGTTGCCTGTAATCCATGGCTTCTGGTTGGGGTATGTACATACAGTCACTGTGGGGACGACGTCATCGATGCACTTATTGATGAATCCAGTGACTGATGTGGTGTACTCCTCAATGCCATCGGAAGAATCCCGGAACATATTCCAGTCTGTGCTAACAAAACAGTCCTGTAGCTTAGCATCTGCTTCATCTGACCACTTTTTTATTGACCGAGTCACTGGTGCTTCCTGCTTTAGTTTTTGCTTGTAAGCCGGAATCAGGAGGATATAATTATTGTCAGATTTGCCAATTGGAGGGCGAGGGAGAGCTTTGTACGCATCTCTGTGTGTGGAGTAAAGGTGGTCTAGAGTTTTTTTTCCCCTGGTTGCACATTTAACATGCTGGTAGAAATGAGGTAAAACAGATTTAATTTTCCCTGCATTAAAGTCCCCGGCCACTAGGAGCGCCACCTCTGAATGAGCGTTTTCCTGTTTGCTTATTGCCGTATACAGTTAATTGAGTGCAGTCTTAGTGCCAGCATCGGTTTGTGGTGGTAAATAGACAGCTACGAAGAATATACAGTGAGGGGAAAAAAGTATTTGATCCCCTGCTGATTTTGTACGTTTGCCCACTGACAAAGAAATGATCAGTTTGTAATTTTAATGGTAGGTTTATATGAACAGTGAGAGACAGAATAACAACAAAAAAAACCTGAAAAACGCATGTACAAAAATGTTATAAATTGATTAGCCTTTTAATGAGGGAAAAAAGTATTTGACCCCTCTGCAAAACATGACTTAGTACTTGGTGGCAAAACCCTTGTTGGCAATCAGAGGTCAGACCTTTCTTGTAGTTGGCCACCAGGTTTGCACACATCTCAGGAGGGATTTTGTTCCACTCTTCTTTGCAGATCTTCTCCAAGTCATTAAGGTTTCGAGGCTGACGTTTGGCAACTCTAACCTTCAGCTCCCTCCACAGATTTTCTATGGGATTAAGGTCTGAAGACTGGCTAGGCCACTCCAGGACCTTAATGTGCTTCTTCTTGAGCCACTCCTTTGTTGCCTTGGCCGTGTGTTTTGGGTCATTGTCATGCTGGAATACCCATCCACGACCCATTTTCAATGCCCTGGTTGAGGGAAGGAGGTTCTCACCCAAGATTTGACGGTACATGGCCCCGTCCATCGTCCCTTTGATGCGGTGAAGTTGTCCTGTCCCCTTATCAGAAAAACACCCCCAAAATAATAATGTTTCCACCTCCATGTTTGACGGTGGGGATAGTGTTCTTGGGGTCATAGGCAGCATTCCTCCTCCTCCAAACACGGCGAGTTGAGTTGATACCAAAGAGCTCCATTTTGGTCTCATCTGACCACGACACTTTCACCCAGTTCTCCTCTGAATCATTCAGATGTTCATAGGCAAACTTCAGACGGGCATGTATATGTGCTTTCTTGAGCAGGGGGACCTTGCGGGCGCTGCAGGATTTCAGTCCTTCACGGCGTAGTGTGTTACCAATTTTTTTCTTGGTGACTATGGTCTCAGCTGCCTTGAGATCATTGACAAGATCCTCCCGTGTAGTTCTGGGCTAATTCCTCACCGTTCTCATGATCATTGCAACTCCACGAGGTGAGATCTTGCATGGAGCCCCAGGCCGAGGGAGATTGACAGTTATTTTGTGTTTCTTCCATTTGCGAATAATCACACCAACTGTTGTCACCTTCTCACCAAGCTGCTTGGCGATGGTCTTGTAGCCCATTCGAGCCTTGTGTAGGTCTACAATCGTGTCCCTGACATCCTTGGAGAGCTCTTTGGTCTTGGCCATGGTGGAGAGTTTGGAATCTGATTGATTGATTGCTTCTTTGGACAGGTTTCTTTTATACAGGTAACAAGCTGACATTAGGAGCACTCCCATTAAGAGTGTGCTCCTAATCTCAGCTCGATACCTGTATAAAAGTCACCTGGGAGCCAGAAATCTTTCTGATTGAGAGGGGGTCAAATACTTATTTCCCTCATTAAAATGCAAATCAATTCATAACATTTTTGACATGCGTTTTTCTGGATTTTTGTTGTTGTTATTATGTCTCTCACTGTTCAAATAAACCTACCATTAAAATTATAGACTGGTCATTTCTTTGTCAGTGGGCAAATGTACAAAATCAGCAGGGGATCAAAAACTTTTTTCCCTCACTGTAGATGAAACTCTCTTGGTAGATAGATAGTGTCTACAGCTTATCATGAGATGCTCTACCTCAGGCGAGCAAAACCTTGAGACTTTCTTAGATATTGTGCACCAGCTGTTGTTGACAAATATAAGACCATCACCCCTTGTCTTACCGAAGGCTACTGTTCTATCCTGCCGATACAGTGTATAACCTGCCAGCTGTATGTTATTCATCCACGACTCGGTGAAACATAAGATATTACAGTTTGTAATGTCCCGTTGGTAGGATATTCGTGCCTGTTGTTTGTCTACTTTATTATCAAGCATTTGTAAGTTGGCCAATAGTATCGATGTCAAAAGCAGATTAGCCACTCGTTGCCGGTTCCTTTTCCAAGCACCCCGATCTCCTTCCGCGATATCTCCTTTTCTTTCTACTGCAAATGACGGGGATGAGGGCCCTGACGGGTGTCTGGAGCAAATCCCTCTCGTCTGACTCATAAAAGAAAAATGATTAGTCCAGTTCAAGGTGAGTAATCGCTGTTCTGATTTCTAGTAGCTCTTTTTGGTCATAAGTGACGGTAGCAGCAACATTATGTACAAAATAAGTTAAAACAATGCGAAAAAACAAACAAAATAGCACGGTTGGTTAAGAGTCCCATAAAACGGCAGCCATCGCCTCCGGCGGCGCCATCTTCTTACATCTCTGTCTCTGTTAAAACCTGAACTGAACCATGATTATTGTGTTTTGGGGGGGTTAAGAAAACACATCAGGAAAACATCTGACTAGATAGAAAGCATATAGAAAATATAATGGACTTATATATTTTCAAATAACTGCCCTATTTCTGGCCTGCAAATTTTGTTGGAAAAACGAATCAGTAAAAACTAATCTGAGCGGCCCTCCGTTGAATTCCGAAATCCCAATATGGCCCTCAAGCCAGAAAGTTTGCTCACCCCTAGTCTACTACCTCCCCTGCAGAACCAGATTTTCCTATCCCTGCTCTAATCTTAACCACAGCTGAATTTCATGGAGGTGCCGCTCTTTTCATGTCGTGTTTAGCTGTAAATGCTGTGTTGTGTTTACCAGGTGCAGGAGCCGCAGACGGACAGGCAGCTGATCGAGACGTCTCCGGTGCTTCAGAAGCTGACAGACTTTGAGGACACCATCGGTGTTATGTTCACACACTGTCGCCTGCTGGCCAGAGCTTTCACACTGAGGACCGTAGGCTTCAACCACCTCACACTGTGAGTATGGGAGGGGTGTGTGTGTGCATGTGTGCGTGGCTTCCCGGTCTATCCTCCATCCCAGTCCCGTAGTGATGGATGGACTGTGCAACTCTTAGTTGGCCCACAGCCTAATCCTGGGGCTTTTACAGCCTGTGTAGTCCTCCCAGGGGACACTAAAGCCCCTCTCCAGCCATTGCCAGCCGTTGCCTGACCCCACTAGTGAGGTCACAGCCCCACTCCCCCATGGGAAATGGAGGTTTTAAATGTTGATTATATTTACTTTGGTTCTTATTCGTTCTCTCTCTCTCTCCCTCTGTTCATTTGTCTCTCTTTGTTTCTCTCTTAGCTTAGTTTATTGCTAAAGGTTTTATTGACTTTAATTGACACTTATTGTGTTATGGATACACATTTTTCTACGAATAATGTCTGAGATATTGTTAGACTTAATTTCACCCCTGGTCTTTTCAGATGCAAACGTCAATATAATTGTCTCAAAAGGCATTTATATAAAATCAAATAATGGTGAAATCATTGATTTTATAAAGTTTCTGACATTTGGATTTTAATTGAGTGAAAAACCACTGTGTTTCTCTGCCTGCTTCTCACCTTTTTATAGATGGCTTTCATTGCTAGCAACTTACTGTAGAAAAAATAGTGTTAAGAATGGGTGTTTTTACTCAAGTGAATGTAAACAATGTGTTATTGAATAAGTCAGGTTTGAATCACACTTGTCTCGAGAGTAATCCAGTTACCTTTTGGTGTAATACTGTAGCATTGTTTTAAAAGCAAAGGAAAAGTTGCACACTCTAGTAGCTCCGATGCAATACTTCATTAATCAACGTTTCGACAGCAAGCTGTCTTTATCAGGTTTTCACCAACTGTACTGTAGCATTGTTCATTCATTGTGTTAAAAATGCTCATAAAATGACATGTAATGGAACGTAATTGCACGAGTAATGTAGTCTTTTAGGAGACGCGCTTCACTGTGTGTTGTACACTAGGTTTAAATGTTTGATACATTCACAATAGTGAAACGTTAGCAACTCAATAGTGAGCCTTGACAGCTAAACCAAATGAGCAACTAGGACGTTTAAGGGTGTGTGCGCGCTGGTGTGTGCATGGCGTGTGTGTGCGCGCTGGTGTGTGCATGGCGTGTGTGTGCGCTCTGGTGTGTGCATGGCGTGTGTGTGCGCGCTGGTGTGTGCATGGCGTGTGTGTGTGCGCTGGTGTGTGCATGGCGTGTGTGTGTGCGCTGGTGTGTGCATGGCGTGTGTGTGTGCGCTGGTGTGTGCATGGCGTGTGTGTGTGCGCTGGTGTGTGCATGGCGTGTGTGTGTGCGCTGGTGTGTGCATGGCGTGTGTGTGCGCGCTGGTGTGTGCATGGCGTGTGTGTGTGCGCTGGTGTGTGTTTTAATCCATCACTTTAATGTCAGAGCCTCTCACCACTCACGGTCAGTGAAGTCGATTAGAGGGCTGGAAGTTGAGCTGTCAAGGTTACCTTTGAAATGTTTCTCCTTCTCAAGGTAGAGACAGACGCCTGCAATGCTAACCCATTGTTGATGCTCATTTATTATTAAATCAGTTTATTCTAAAGCTAATTCTTTAACATTACATTATGATAGCCACCTTTATTACTCAGTTTATTTTGAGGCAATTATTTACCATTAGATTGCGCATTAGTCAAGCCCAATGTAACGACTCCTGTGTCCATAACACTAGAACCGCTGGGCCTTTCAGCATATAAGTACCCGCTAGAAATTGTTGAGAACGTTGCCGGGAGACGCATCAGATGCATGTCAACCCACAAGCTGCACAAACATAAGGACCAACGCTTGATAAATAGTGCATAAACAATTGTTAAGGATGAATTACATTAAGAAATATTTGTGGAAATATATCCATGACAAGATACTGTATCCCATGTTTCCTTTTCTGTGCGCATGAGCAACAGTATAATCTCTGATGTGCTGCAACATCTGCATGGCACATAAACAAATAAATATGTGCTCTGGCAATTTCTCTTTACATGAGGTGTAGGGCCTGCTCTCTTTGTGAAGGTCGCCTTGTGCTCTCGTCACTCTTCTCTACCCAAACTGTGCCACTCCTTCCAGACTTCTGTCTCACCGTGGTAGTTGGGATCACCGTTTGTTGGCCCAGTTCTGGTTTTTCTGTGGCGACGCTCAGGCATCGGATGCAGAGGCTTGAAGTCAACATCGGAATCAGATGAAGACTCTTCCTCAGCAACGTCGATTTCGAGCTCAATATCCGATCCTTCATCCGACTCCAGCTCATCTAAATTCTGCAGCGTTTGTAATGCTGTCAGTGCGTCTGATTTGACTCACCGAGGGGAGATAATATAAAATGTCCGGCCTTTCGTAATAAAATAATTAGACCGCCCACAATTCTTCATCATTGATTAAAATGTGATGCTGATAGAACTGAGTTTGAAATTGAATCAAATCTAGCTTCAGATAGTGTGAATTGTGTCCATTTAGAACAAGAGGTCGGTAGCAATGGGAGTCTGATACCTCCAATGTAGGGCAACCTTAAGACAACGATCTCTTCACACTGGAAAGTGAAATGAAGGTTGTACAATTGGAAAGTACACTAGATAAAGGAGACGGGCGGGCACACACACACACACACACACACACACAGTAACCTCATAGTGGTGGAAGTAGATAGATAGAGGCTGACCTTAGAGGATGTGGAGCTGTGAGTTCACCCCTTTTAGAGATCCCAGAGACAGGAGACCTCAGACTCTACCCTCTAAATCCCTTTGGTTGCCTCCCAAATGGCACCCTATTCCATATGTAGTGTCATACCGTTGACGGAAAGTAGTCCACTATAAAGTGGGTTAGGGTGCCATTTGGGATGCAACCCTTTTCTCATAGGCCCCTAATGATTAGGTCACTCAATGGCTGCCAGGATCAATGATCCCAAACCACTAGAGGACGCACCACTACTCTCCTCCCACTTCGCTCCGCTCAGGTATATACAGTGCATTCGGAAAATATTCAGACACCTTGATTTTTCCACATTTTGGTACTTTACAGCCTTATTCTAAAATTGATTCAATAGTTTTTTTTCTTTCCCCCCTCATCAATCTACACACAATACCCCATAATGACGAAGCAAAAACAGGTTTTTCAAATTTTTTGCAAATGTATTCAACCCCCATAAACTGAAATACCACATTTACATAAGAATTCAGACCCTTTACTCAGTACTTTGTTGAATCACCTTTGGCAGCGATTACAGCCTCGAGTCTTCTTGGGTATTACACTACAAGCTTGGCACACCTGTATTTGGGAAGTTCCTCCCATTCTTCTCTGCAGATCCTCTCAAGCTCTGTCAGGTTGGAAGGGGATCGTTGCTGCACAGCAATTTTCAGGTGTCTCCAGAGATGTTCGATCGGGTTCATGTCCGGGCTCTGGCTGGGCCACTCAAGGACATTCAGAGACTTGTCCCGAAGCCACTCTTGCGTTGTCTTGGCTGTGTGCTAAGGGTCGTTGTACTGTTGGAAGATGAACCTTCACCCCAGTCTTAGGTCCTTAGCACTCTGGAGCAGGTTTTCATCAAGGATCTCTCGGTGTCAACTGTGGGACTTTACATAAACAGGTGTGTGCCTTTCCAAATCATGTCCAATCAATTTAATTTACCACAGGTGGACTCCAATCAAGTTGTAGAAACATCTCAAGGATGATCAATGGAAACTGGATGCACCTGAGCTCAATTTCGAGTCTCATAGCAAAGGGTCTGAATACTTATGTAAATTAGGTAATTCTGTTTTTAGTTTTTATACATTTGCAAAAATTTCTAAACCTGTTCATGCTTTGTCATTATGGGGTATTGTGTGTAGATTACTGAGGAAAAACATTAATTTAATCAATTTTAGAATAAGGCTGTAACGTAACAAAATATGAAAAAGGGGAAGGGGTCTGAATACTTACCGAATGCACTGTATAGCCTCCCCGGCCGGATCAGGTCCAAAACCACCCCCCGGATCCCTGCTGAGGGGAACACTATTTCCCCAACTCCCAAGTCGCAGAGAAAAGCCACACACACAAGCACCCAGTCACGCACGTATACACACAGGCATTACAAAATGGAGCAGTCGTCCCTGAAACGTGGTGCTCCTGAAGCTGTTAAAGGTGTTTTAGTTGAAAGTCATGGCAGAATAAAGACCTGGGAGATTCACACTTTACTTCAATTTTCCCCATCCTTTCCCCTCCCTTAACCTTCCCACTACTACCGCTGCATTGTGCCTCCTGTTGGTGGAAATAAGGGACGGCTCTTTGTGCCTTTCACACTGAAACGCTTTACTTCTTCCCCGACTCTCTCTCGTGCCTTCTCGCTTTTTTTCTCTCTCTAGTTTTCTCTCTTGCCCTTTTTCTTTCTCTCGTTCTCTCTCTCTCTCTCTCTCTCTCTCTCTCTCTCTCTCTCTCTCTCTCTCTCTCGTTCTCTCTCTCTCTCTCGTTCTCTCTCTCGTTCTCTTCTCTCTCTCTCTCTCGTTCTCTCTCTCTCTCTCTCTCTCTCTCTCGTTCTCTCTCTCTCGTTCTCTCTCTCTTCCGCTCTCGCTCTCACCCTCCTAATGAAGCACATTCCAGAAGACTTTCCCAGTTCAGATAAGCAGTGTAACATAAAACCCGCCAGCCGGCGCCACAGAAAGGGGACAATAAACTCTGACTGATGTGATTCTCTCCCCCCTTCCTTTGCTCCTCTCCCCTCAGCTCTAACTGTACACTCCTGCTCTAACCTGCTGATCCTCATATCTCTGGTGTCTTCCCAAATAACACCCTATTCCCTAAGCAGTGCACTACTTTTAACTAGTGCCCTATGGGCCCTGGTCAAAAGTAGTGCACTAAATAGGGAATAACATGCCATTAGGGATGCGACCCATGTCTATGTAAATCTCCCTCTCCACTCCACTCTTCTCACTGTGGTCTGTGATACCCGCCCTGGCTCCTTGGCACAGCATCAACCTACATCTGCAACACTGATCTATAATTCTGTTTAATTAAAGAGCATTATTGCGCAGCGCCTCTCCTCCATCTCCTACTACACTGCAGTTAGAGTAAAGTGCACCCCCCCCCGTCCAGCACGGTACTACTGCATAGAAAGTATGAAGTTCAGTCACTCACTGAAGATGATCAAACACATCCATAGATATCAGTGGGGTTGAGGGTTTAATGTTGGAAGGGGTGTGTGTGTGTGTGGTGTGTGTTTGCGCACGCCTGTGTTTGCGCACGTATTGTGCATAGTCCCGTGTAGCTCAGTTGGGTAGAGCATGGCGTTTGCAACGCCAGGGTTGTGGGTTCGATTCCCACGGGGGGCCAGTATGAAACATTTATTTTCACTCACTAACTGTAAGTCGCTCTGGATAAGAGTGTCTGCTAAATGACTAAAATGTAAATGTAAAATGGCTGCTTGTCGTAGTGCAGTGGTATCATTGATTTGATCCAAGCTTGTAATTCTATTTAACATTTAACAGTATAGACTTTGTGCGTGTGCATTAGTGCTTTAGTGCATCACTTTCAGCACGCCACTCTTAAAAATGCACTATGCAGAAATCCCTCCGCCATTTCCTGGTTGCTAAAATTCTAATAGTTCACCTAATTTCAGTTTATGTGACAAAATAAGCAAGTATCGTGTAGAGAATCATTGTACCATCTATTCCATAACCAAAAATATAGTTTTTTCAGCTGTTTGACGCTGGTGTACAAAACCGAAAGTAAAAGCTCATTGGAAGCATAGAAATAGCGCACATAGAACAGATCTATCTGTTCTTAGACTTGCTTTCAATGAGAATGACAGATCTATGACTCTCATTTCTTTGTGAATTTTGTTGGGTTGCCCAAAAAGTTACATATTGCAGCTTTAACATACAGATGTATACGCTAATGCTAAGACCCTCATGGGGTTTGAATGAGAGTTGAAGCCATGAGGATGTGTACCTGAATAAACCCCACTTTCCTCTCCCTCACCCCTCTTTACCCGTCTCTCCCGGCCTCCGCTTCTCTCTACCCATCTCTCCTCCCTCCCTTACCCCTCTCTACACCTTCTCCCCCTCTCTCCCAGGGGTCACAACCAGAGGATGGAGTTCCTTGGAGACTCCATCATGCAGCTAGTGGCTACAGAGTACCTCTTCATCCATTTCCCCGACCACCACGAAGGACACTTAACGGTAAGGACTTCCAAGCAAACCCCTAATGTCTTTCATCTCTTCTTCCTCTTCATCATGCACTCCTCTTTCTCTCTCTGTGCTCTCTGCTCTCTCTCTCTCTCAATCTTTCTCTGTGCTCTCCATCTCTCTTCCTCCATCTTTGTCTCTCCGTCGGTTCCTCCCTCTACCATGAACATCTATAAGCAGTAGTATGTACGAATCTTTGTTTTCTCTGGCCCATCTGTGTTATTCACTGTGTCCTTTCCTCCTCCGCTGCACTTACTAGTGCACCTCTCTTTAGCTCTTCCTCCTCTCTTTGTATTCCTCCCTCTTTCTTTCCATGAGAGATGGGTAGCCAATTGTGTTATGGGAAAGTGGCTTTGTCTTTAATAGCAGGCTCTTTGTAATGTACTCCCCTGTGATGGCTGTAGAGTACAGATGGAGAGAGATGGACTGTCTCCATATTGATGGTGCTGTATCAGTGTTTGGGGTTATAGGGGTGTTTCTGTGTGCCTCTTATATTAAAGTACCCGCCGGAACATTCCATTCATGAATTTTCCATCTTGTCAATCAATATTGAAACATCTGGTCTTTCTTTTTGGGTTATTTTTCCTTCCATTCTCTGCAGACAGAAAGAAAGGACATAGTGTTAGTTCTGGAACCAATTTGTCATCAGTCTTAACTAAAAGCTGCTAAGTAAAAACAGATCTCCAGTTAGATATTTATCAGTGGAAGAGAGTAGATGTGACATCAAAGGGATAAAAACCCTGCAGTGAAGCTTAGCTAAGAGACGGCGAGCTCTACGGATGATGTGATGGTCCCGGCCTGCCCAAGAGTAGAAACAGACTCGGACTCAAATGGATTACAAGTAGATAAGTGCTCATTCAACATGTGTAGCTTTTTATATGTGACTGTGTGTGTGTGTCGTTGAGACTGAGTTAGCTAAGATGTCCCACAGCGTTTGATCTACTCCATCTCTACTTCTCTACTTTGTTTTCCCCTCTGCTATTTTTATATTTATGTTTAGAGCAGGAAATACACTTGTCTTGTTTTGACATATCTTCATCTGCAGAGCTTTGAGTCACAATGTAATATTTATGTGAATGAAACATTGAATAGCCTGCACGGGAAAGCATCTGTGATGTATTAGTCCATATGTTGGGGGGGTTTTGGCATATGTGCAAAAGTGTGTTTGTGAGACTTGGATATGTCTGTGTGTGTGTGTGTTCCACAGCTGTTGCGTAGCTCCTTGGTCAACAACCGTACTCAGGCCAAAGTTGCAGAGGAGCTGGGCATGCAGGAGTTTGCGATCACTAACGACAAAACTAAACGGCCAGTGGCCCTCCGGACCAAGACCCTTGCTGATCTGCTGGAGTGTACGTATACAGTTCACAGCCCTTTTGAATATACATTTGCCGCCAAAATATATTGGCACCCTTGCGCTTATCTTAAAAAATTCCCTTTTTTCTTCTAAAATAAGTAGAAATTGAAAACTTTTGGTCTCTACAGTTTATTTGATTTTCAACATTGTAGAACAATTTTTCTTTATTAAGTTAGGTTAACAATTTGTATATAAAAAATAAAGGAAAATGGCTGGGACAAAATTATTGGCACCTCGGAGCTAGTACTTGGTTGCACAGCCTTTGGCCAAGATAAGTGCAGACAAATGCTTCTTGTAGCCTCATTGAGCTTGTTGCGCCTTTCTACTGCAAGATTGTCCCACTCTTCAGCAGCAAACTGCTCTAAGGGGTGTCCTCAACCAACTGCTGTTTTCAGATCTCGCCATAGGTTTTGGATGTGATTCAGATCTCGACTCTTTGATCGACAATTCAGAACAATCCAGCGTTACTTCTTGAACCATTCCTGTGTTCGGGGTCGTTGTCCTGCTGGCAGACCCAGAACCTTTATTTTCTAAATGAAAATTGTAAACTGAAGTTTACAAAAATAAAAGGTGTTCTGCAATCCCATAACATGGTGTGGAGACCCAAAGTTTGTTTAAATTATTATTATTATTATTATAAAACGTTTGGAATTATTTAAGAAAAGTGCAAGGGTAACAATATATTTGACTGCATCTGTATATAATAATATATACCATTTAGCAGACACTTTAACCAAAGTATGGGTGGTCCCAGGAATCAAACCCACTATCCTGGCGTTGCAGCTGCCTACTGAGCTACAGAGGACCACAATCATTGTCGTTTCATGTGTACAGGTCTCACTTCTCTCTTAAAAACGGATCGATTGCCATCATGTCCGAGGCCTCTCCTTCTCTGCTTTCTCTCTGTCTGAGATTTTTGAACACAAACCATTGTCATTTTTCGTGTACTGTACGAACAAGGCATAGATATCCTTTAAACAATGGAATATGTATGTAATTCTATGGTTTCCCTATATGGACAATGCTCTCTCCTTGAGGTTTTAAAAATTGTCGTTTGCATGTTCCTGTACGTAGGCTACATGACCTCTCATCTCTCCTTGACGTCTTTAAACTCTGAACTATTGGCATTTTGCATTTTCTCTTTTCTTTATCAAAGGCCAGTAATATATGTTTAATTATCCTGTGGGAGTACATGGACCTGGCCTTGTCCTTTGGCTCCTGAGCCCTTTGCTGCTTGCTTGGTGACCGGAGGGTTGATGAATGAGTCTGAGGTCTCCGTCTCATGGCTAGTGAAAAAGGCAGGTTACAGCCCTCCCTCCACTTACTTGGCCTTCCAGTCTTTAGACATCAAGGCTGAGTCGTGTCCTAAATGGCACCATATTCCCTACATAGTGCACTACTTTTGGCCAGCGCTCATGCATCTCATCAAAAGTAGTGCACTATGTAGGTACTAGGTTGCCATTTGGGACGCATCCTGAGACCAGGCCTGAGCATTAGGGGGTTGGGGGGGTGGAGGGCGGGCTCAAGTGGCAGCAGCATGACGAGGTGTACCATACTGGATGCTCTTCAAAAACCAAGCCACAAGAGGATGACATGCGCCGTGCACACACGCTCAGATGTACACACATGAAGTGAACACGAAACACTCAAATTATATAGGGAGACCTTTGTACTTGGTGCCACATACACAGACGTACACACACTAGATTATTTGCGTCCTCAAATATTATTCAAAGGCCAGAGCAGAGATGATGACAACAGGGTTGAGGGGTTTGGGCTGAAATTAGTGCTGCTCTTGAGCATATGAACAGTCATGCCCTCTAGCTACACTGAACAAAAATATAAACGCAATCAGTCATTTGAAATAAATTCATGGGTGCCGTGCATTATCATGTTGAAACATGAGGTGATGGCGGCGGATGAATGGCACTGTGGAATTGTTTTGTGACAAAACTGCACATTTGAGTTGCCTTTTATTGTCCCCAGCACAAGGTGCCCCTGTGTAATGAGAACAGTCCCGTGTAGCTCAGTTGGTAGAGCATGGCGCTTGCAACGCCAGGGTTGTGAGTTCGATTCCCATGGGGGACCAGTATGGGGAAAAAAAGTGAAAATGTACGCACTCACTACTGTAAGTCGCTCAATATGAGTGTCTGCTAAATGACAAAAATGTAGAAGTAATGATCATGCTTTTCAATCAGCTTCTTGATATGCCACACCTGTCAGGTGGATGGATTATCTTGGCAAAGGAGAAATGCTCACTAACACGGATGCAAACAAATTAGTGATTTTTTGTTTGTTTTTGTTGTTGTTGAGAAATATGCTTTTTGTGAGTATGAAACATTTCTGGAATCTTTTATTTCAGCTCGTGAAACATTGGACCAACACTTTACATGTTGTGTTTATATTTTTGTTCAGTGTAGCTACGTACATAAGTACTTATAGCCCAGACTCTGTCAGCATCCCAAATGGCACCTTTTCCCTATGTAGTGCACTTCTTTTGATCAGAGCCCATAGGGCTCTACTTTTGACTAAAACCAATAGGGCCTGTTCAAAAGTAGTGCACTACATAAGGAACAGCGTGCCCTTTGGAACACAGCCCCTCTCTCTACAGGGCCATTGAAATATGACCTATTACACCTCCTCTCTTCCCTTTGACTCCAGCCTGCCTTCTCTTGTGTATGGGAGTAAGGTGAGAATAAAACAATATGTGGTAGAATGTGGTGACGTGTGCCAACAAGGGAGATGACCGGTGTGCATTCTGAAGGGACTGGGAGGAGTCCCAAAAATGGTTTAGACAACCTGAAGAAGGGCCTGCAGCGGTAGACTTGTTATTATGTTCCATTTCCTTTTGATGTCTGTGCAATTTTTATGGTTGCCTTTATTATTGAGTCCAGGGCTCGTAATAACAAAGCATCTCGGAGTAGGAGTGCCGATCTAGGATCTGTCCATATAATCTAATTCGTTATGATCTAAACAGCGAAACTGATCCTAGATCAGCACTCCTACTCTGAGAAGCTTTGTGGATACGGGCCCAGATCGGCAGCAGCAGACAGCCATCATGGTCTATCCGGTTCCATTCAGTCGATGGATTAAAACCACTTCCATAACCTCCCCCTCTCCTCTCGTGTTAATGTTGTTGTTAACCACAAAGCAGCTTTTATATTTGTCCGACGTTACCTTCTTAAACATCGGCTCTCCCTTTCATCCCCTCCGTTATCTAGCCTCTCCTCTCTTCCTCTCTCTTTCATCACTCGTTCATTGTTCTTTCCTCTCTTCTGTCATCGGCAGCTTTCATCGCGGCGCTCTACATCGATAAGGATTTGGAGTACGTTCACACCTTCATGAACGTCTGCTTCTTCCCTCGACTGAAGGTGAGTGTGCGTGCGCCGCGCGCAATCTCCCATGTGTGTCTGAACGCGTGCATGTCTGAAGGTGAGGACTCACGCTCTCTCCTCTGATCCCATCGACAGCCAGCCTCCCCACAACCGCGATAGGGCACTCACTCACCAATCAATGAGCACTCTTCTCTTCTCTTTTCTATGTACTACCGGTAGAGAGGAGAGGAGAGGCCAGGGCAGCTAATGGCTAAACTAATAGCACTAGCTTTGATGAGCGGCGCTCAAGTGGTGCTTGACTCCTCAACGGTCTTCGCATGGATGTACGGTCCTATTGTAGTCATCTTTAATGGGTGCTGGTTGCGGTCGGGTCTATGCTAGCTACTGTTATTGGGTTGTTAGTGAATGTTTAGATATTGATCCCCCACCACCACTGATGTAGCCAGCGCTGTTCTGTTCTAAGGTGTTGTTGCTGTTGTTTCTCAAGTGTTTCAGATGGTGGGTGTGGTGTTCATTCAGAAAGACCTCTCTTAAGCCTCCTTTCGTATTAGATGGCAGGAGATGTGACGTATCAGTAAATTGGTGAGATTTAGAGAAGTGAATCTCTGTAAGATGAATAGGTTGGTGGACCTGCCACCCTCCTCCTCTCCCTCCCTTAAAAGAAGACATTCTGTCTGTAGGATGAACAGGTTGGTGGAACTGTTCTTCCTGTTAGAAAGGTCGAGAAAAAGACTGCTGCTTACACACACACACTAGGGCTACCTCCTTTTCACACTCACACACACTGTGTGAAGGTGATGGCTCAGCCTACAGTGGTGTGCTAATTGTGTCTGTGGGTCTTCTGGGAGGCTGGTTGGCCATTGAGGAGCTGAGAGAGAGAGAGCGAGAGAGAGATTTCCACCAGAAAGTTGTGAAAAAGACCCAACACATCTCTTCACATAGCCTTTCAGACTTTGTCCCAAAGGGCTCCCTATATTATAATATATTGGTGGGTGCTTATATTTGTCCAGGCCCCATAGGGGCCACTATTTCCTAAAGTTATGCACTATGTAGGGAATAGGGAGCAATTTGGGACACAGACTTTCTAAGAGGCTATATACACTGCTCAAAAAAATAAAGGGAACACTTAAAAAACACAATGTAACTCCAAGTCAATCACACTTCTGTGAAATCAAACTGTCCACTTAGGAAGCAACAATGATTGACAATAAATGTCACATGCTGTTCTGCAAATGGAATAGACAACAGGTGGAAATTATAGGCAATTAGCAAGACACCCCCAATAAAGGACTGGTTTTGCAGGTGGTGACCACAGACCACTTCTCTGTTCCTATGCTTCCTGGCTGATGTTTTGGTCACTTTTGAATGCTGGCGGTGCTTTCACTCTAGTGGTAGCATGAGACGGAGTCTACAACCCACACAAGTGGCTCAGGTAGTGCAGCTCATCCAGGATGGCACATCAATGAGAGCTGTGGCAAGAAGGTTTGCTGTGTCTGTCAGCGTAGTGTCCAGAGCATGGAGGCGCTATCAGGAGACAGGCCAGTACATCAGGAGACGTGGAGGAGGCCGTAGGAGGGCAAAAACCCAGCAGCAGGACTGCTACCTCCGCCTTTGTGCAAAGAGGAGCAGGAGGAGCACTGCCAGAGCCCTGCAAAATGACCTCCAGCAGGCCACAGATGGGCATGTGTCTGCTCAAACGGTCAGAAACAGACTCCATGAGGGTGGTATGAGGGCCCGACGTCCACAGGTGGGGGTTGTGCTTACAGCCCAACACCATGCAGGACGTTTGGCATTTGCCAGAGAACTCCCAAGATTGGCAAATTCGCCACTGGCGCCCTGTGCTCTTCACAGATGAAAGCAGGTTCACACTGAGCACGTGACAGACGTGACAGAGTCTGGAGACGCCGTGGAGAACGTTCTGCTGCCTGCAACATCCTCCAGCATGACCGGTTTGGCGGTGGGTCAGTCATGGTGTGGGGTGGCATTTCTTTGGGGGGCCTTACAGCCCTCCATGTGCTCACCAGAGGTAGCCTGACTGCCATTAGGTACTGAGATGAGATCCTCAGACCCCTTGTGAGACCATATGCTGGTGCGGTTGGCCCTGGGTTCCTCCTAATGCAAGACAATGCTAGACCTCATGTGGCTGGAGTGTGTCAGCAGTTCCTGCAAGAGGAAGGCATTGATGCTATGGACTGGCCCGCCCGTTCCCCAGACCTGAATCCAATTGAGCACATCTGGGACATCATGTCTCGCTCCATCCACCAACGCCACGTTGCACCACAGACTGTCCAGGAGTTGGCGGATGCTTTAGTCCAGGTCTGGGAGGAGATCCCTCAGGAGACCATCCGCCACCTCATCAGGAGCATGCCCAGGCGTTGTAGGGAGGTCATACAAGCACGTGGAGGCCACACACACTACTGAGCCTCATTTTGACTTGTTTTAAGGACATCAGATCAAGGTTGGATCAGCCTGTAGTGTGGTTTTTCACTTTAAATTTGAGGGTGACTCCAAATCCAGACCTCCGTGGGTTGATAAATTTGATTTCCATTGATAATTTTTGTGTGATTTTGTTGTCAGCACATTCAACTATGTAAAGAAAAAAGTATTTAATAAGATTATTTCATTCATTCAGATCTAGGATGTGTTATTTTAGTGTTCCCTTTATTTTTTGAGCAGTGTATTATTGCTTCATAGAATCTTCTGGAAGAAAGTAAAAGGACATATATGGTACCATTATGTCCTTGTAATCTTTGCCTTTGAGTACACGTGTGTGTGTGTGTGTGTACGTAGTTGTGCGATGTATGTGCATGTGTTTTGGGATCAAAACAAAATAGTACAAATCTTTTATTGCTGAAGGCAAGAAGGAGGGGTAGGGATGCCCCCCAGAGAGGGAGAGGGAACGAAAAAGAGGGAGTCGAGAGAGAGCATCGGCTACAAGGGCATGCGGAACCCCTCTTTGTAGAAAATGAATAGGAACAGACAGTTATAGATTCAAAGTGTCCCTTTTATATCATGGCTGCTTTCCTGTTAATGGAAGTGCTTTTAGAAGTCCCTTTGGATTGGAGAATGTATCAGGCCTGCACACCTGGGAGACTCCCAGAGAGAGAGAGAGCTCTGTATTTCTGGCTCTGCTAGGAGCAGGCAGGAGACACTTTTGTCTTAAGTAGCCTGTGATTTGTGCCCACTGCAGAGAGAGAAAAGTCAGGGAGATAGAGAGAGCCAAAGAAGAACAAAAAGTGAGAGTAGGATAAGAGGTGGAAAGCGGGAAAGAGAGTCAGGGAAGCAATGAAAGCAGGGGAAAGGGAGGGGAAGAGAGGTAGAGAGTTTGTAATTGTTGCTCGACAGTATTTGTGAAGTGTTAAATGTGTGTGTGTGTGTTGCAGGAGTTTATCCTGAACCAGGATTGGAACGATCCTAAATCCCAGCTCCAGCAGTGTTGCCTGACCCTGCGCACGGAGGGCAAGGAGCCCGACATCCCCCTCTACAAGTAAGCTACTGCTCCCTCCATACAACCTGTTCTCTCCCGCTCTTGCTTTCTCTCTCGCTCCCTTTCTCTCTCGCTCTCTCTCTCTCATTCTCTCAACATCAGCTATTTAATTTTTCCTACTTTCACGTGCTTATCTCAAATGGAGTAATGAAAAGCCACTGGAGGAGTGTGTGAAATGAATAATCCCCCCCCCACACACACACACACACACATTTATTTATCCCCCCCCCCCCCCCCCCATTCACCACACACAGGCAACCTTGACAGGCTCCCCTAACAGAACATAGTGAATGGGTGTGATGTGTTGTGTAAAGGTCTTTGTTGTTGGGATAAATAAACACTACTTTCAAAGAAACCTCTTATTTGACAAAAGGTCAAGGGGCAAGTGTCGTTTGACGGACAGCTTTCCAAATTCCAAGGCGAAATGAACTAGGCTAAGTGTCTCCCTGATAACTGACAACCGTGTGTATGTGGGTTACAGGACCAGCCTGTTTTGAATTCACCACAGTGTATTAAGAACTTGAGAGATTTGATTCGGATTAAGGTCTGAATATTTAATGAGAAGCAACACAGGGGTTCTGATAGCAGGGTTTCGGATGTGTCTGAAATGGCACCCTATTCCCAATATAGTGCACTACTTTTGACCAGGTCAAAGATAAAGCATTATATAGGGGAATAGGGTGCCATTTGGGACGCACTTTGGTGGTCGGCTCTTTCTCTAATAGGGTATTATCATAATTGTCATATTTTCACAGTATTATTCCAACCTCATAGTGTGGATATATATATATACACACACACACTACCGTTCAAAAGTTTGGGGTCACTTAGAAATGTCCTTGTTTTTGAAAGAAAAGCAATGTTTTTGTCCATTAAAATAACATCAAATTGATCAGAAATACAGTGTAGACATTGTTAATGTTGTAAATGGCTATTGTAGCTGGAACGGCAGATTTTTTTGGGGGGTGGAATATCTACTACATAGGCCCATTATCAGCAACCATCAGTCCTGTATTCCAATGGCACGTTGTGTTTGCTAATCCAAGTTTATCATTTTAAAAGGCTAATTGATCATTAAAAAACCCTTTTTGCAATTATGTTAGCACAGCTGAAAACTGTTGTGCTGATTAAAGAAGCAATAAACTGGCCTTCTTGAGACTAGTTGAGTATCTGGAGCATCAGCAATTGTGGGTTCGATTGCAGGCTCAAAATGGCCAGAAACAAAGAACTTTCTTCTGAAACTCGTCGGTCTATTCTTGTTCTGAGAAATGAAGGCTATTCCATGCGAGGAAATTGCCAAGAAACTGAATATCTCGTACAACGCTGTTTACTACTCCCTTCACAGAACAGCACAAATTTGCTCTAACCAGAATATAAAGAGGAGTGGGAGGCCCCAGTGCACAACTGAGCAAGAGGACAAATACATTAGTGTCTAGTTTGAGAAACAGACGCCTCACAGGTCCCCAACTGGTAGCTTCATTAAATAGTACCCCCAAAACACCAGCCTCAACGTCAACAGTGAAGAGGCGACTCTAGGTGGAGTTGCAAAGAAAAAGCCATATCTCAGACTGGCCAATAGAAATAAAAGATTAAGATGGGTAAAATAACACAGACACTGGACAGAGGAAGATTGGAAAAAAGTGTTATGGACAGACAAATCGAAGTTTGAGGTGTTCGGATCACAAAGAAGAGCATTTGTGAGACGCAGACCAAATGAAAAGATGCTGGAGGAGTGCTTGATGCCATCTGTCAAGCATGGTGTAGGCAATGTGATGGTCTGGGGGTGCTTTGGTGGTGGTAAAGTGAGAGATTTGTACAGGGTAAAAGGGATCTTGAAGAAGGAAGGCTATCGCTCCATTTTGCTACGCCATGCCATACCCTGTGGACGGCACTTGATTGGAGCTAATTTCCGCCTACAACAGGACAATGACCCAAAGCACAGCTCCAAACTATGCAAGAACTGTTTAGCGAAGAAGCATTCAGCTGATAATCTGTCTATAATGGAGTGGCCAGCACAGTCACCGGATCTCAACCGTTGTGGGAGCAGCTTGACCGTGTGGTACGTCAGAAGTGCCCATCAAGCCAATCCAACTTGTGGGAGGTGCTTCAGGAAGCATGGGGTCAAATCTCTTCAGATTACCTCAACAAATTGACAACTAGAATGCCAAAGGTCTGCAAGGCTGTAATTGCTGCAAATGGAGGATTCTTTGACGAAAGCAAAGTTTGAAGGACACAATTATTATTTCAATTAAAAATCATTATTTCTAACCTTATCAATAAAAAAATAGTTCAACTGACATTGTTACTAGGTAACATGTTCGCCACAAACAGAACCCTTGTTGAACTCACCTAGACATTGATGACCCCTCACCCTGAACCACCACTCTATATGAGTCTTGGTGTAGGAGGGTTTAAAGTGCATTACACACAGGGTTACTCAAGCGCTTTTAGCATGAAGTTAATTGGCGAGTCACACAGGGTTATAGGCCCCCTTCAGAGAGCGACTACTCTCCCCCTCACTAGCTGTACGAAGAACTAGACTGAGTCTGTGGCCATTATTACAGAATCTAAGAGCCTGAGAGAAAGTCACAAACTGCCTGTACTGTACTTTTTCTATCTGTCGCCACTTTCATTCATTCATTGTATTTATTTATGCAGGACAATCCACTCGGTAACAATTGCCTGTTTTCCAGGGTAGCCTGTGATCCATAAAATCAATACAAACATACATATTATGTCTGTCTGTACTCTACTGTATGTGTGATCTGCTTGGAAGTGATAGTTCACTAATGCTACCGAATATCCCCATATTCTAACGTTTTCTCTGGTTTCTGCTGCTTTCAGAGATTCTAATTCCAAGTGACAGTTTTCCCTGTCGAGGTTTGTTTCAGAATTCAGCAGGGCTGAGGAACCGTTAGTATTTGTTCAGAACATGCCACAGGCCTCTTCATTTGTAAGTGAGAAATATGATTGAATTATTGATGAAATGCCGTAAGTGACCACATTGCATAAAACATTTATAGCACCCCTGAAATAAATAAATTGTCTGTTAATAATTTAGGGTGTCGGTGTGTGGTTTATGCTAATGTTAACATTTTAGACATCTACAAGTGTTGTTTGTTTACTTGTCCTCTGTTCTCCCTGCTGGAATCTAACTGAAAATGGTGATGTCAAATGTATTTTTAAATGTTTCATATGATATGATTGTGATATCTTTTTCCATGTCTTTCTCCCTGAGTTTGCTGGTTGCTCATGTATTTCTACATAACACCAAAGCCTGATGGTCCGTCAGAGAGCATTGTCATTATTTTACTTCTTTGTTTTTGTCTTCTGTGTAGCAGAAGAACACGCATCTTTTATACCATCCAGTGATGATGAGGGGCCTTTTATTGCCTTTATTGTATCTGTCCCTCAGATGGCTTGTGTACACTGTCAAGCCACGCCCAGACGAATGAAAGTGTTCTCATGTATTTTCCTCTCTTTTTCATCTCTCTCTCAACCCAGGCCAGTCTTTAGCACGCAGGCAGGCAGTTTTTTTGTTCAGAAGAACAATACCAACGTTGAGTGTCCTTGAGCTTTCTCACTTCTGTCATTATTTCTCTCCTCCTGTTTTCCTCTCTTTCTCTGTCGCTCATCCCATCTCCTTTTCAACCGTTTGTTGCAGGACCCTGCAGACAGTGGGGCCGTCTCACGCACGGACCTACACTGTGGCTGTGTACTTCAAAGGAGAGAGGATAGGTTGTGGCAAGGGCCCAAGGTACGTACAGTAGACCCACCGCAGCCACCCGTTAGGCCGAGTTAGCATGTCTCAAATGGCACCTTAGTCCCTATATAGTGCACTACTTTAGTAGTGTACTACACAGGGAATAGGGTGGCATTTAGGATGCAGTCTTTAGTGTGCTCCGCTCTGCTCAATGCACGGCTAATGGGCTCTAGAAATAATGGCCATGTTTTATTGATGGTGTTTATTATAGCAATTAAGCTCTGTGGCGGTTCTATTGGGAGGGACTTTATGCGGAATGAAAATGAATCGATTCATTATTGAATTGACATAAATGGTATTATAGAAACATCATATTTAGGAGGGGAAATGCCCTGTGACAAAGGGCGAGAGACCACACACAGTGAGTCTCTCTCCGGAGCTAGGTCTGGTCCAGGACATTAGTGCGGTTTGCTAACGCTGAGCCTTCCTTCACTAATGCCCTGGACTAGAGCTAGGGCTAGCTGGTATGGCTGGGGAAATGCTCTGTGACAAAGAGAGAGAGTCAGGTTGTGGCACAATAGGCACCCTATTTCCTTCATAGTGCACCCAGAGGGCTTTGGTCAAAAGTAGTGCACTATAAAGTGAATAGGGTGCCATTTGAGACAGACTTTCTCCAGGGCTAGCTAGGGTTTGGTTTGGTTCTACCTGTGATGTTTCTCTTCAGAGGGTTGGGGAGGCTTTTACAAAGAACCGTAGGGTAAAGAAAATGTGAATCGCTGCGTGAAGGAAGGCCCTTTCAGAGAGGAGATAAAACCATTCTGCTCAGCTTAGGAATAATACAAAATCCATCAAACATCTCTCACCCCTCTGCGTTGAAAATCCCTTTCCATGGCCCTCTTGAAAGAGCGCTCTCTGCCTCTAAGCTGGCGATAACTTTGTCCCCTCCATAGTATCTCTACCCAGCTTACTGTTTTATATTTACTAAACGTAAGCCCCACTACCCCCCCGCCACTTGCCTATGATCACATAATATAATATTTACAGAGAGCAGTACGGTAAACAGTACACATGCTGAGAGAGCGCCTGGCCCAAAGGCTTAGATACCTCTGTGAGATGTATGCATGGTGCTAGCTACTTGGGATTGTTGGGAGGAACAAAAAACATTTTTATATAATCCTCTGTCTTTGGCCTGCTCTCAGACTACAGCATTTGAAAAGGATGTTTTGAATATGCTAAAGACCTTTTATTTATTGTCTGTCTTTCCCTCTTTTTGAAATGTGTTGATTTTTGATTTTTTCCTTTTCAATCCAGTATCCAACAGGCAGAGATGGGAGCTGCTATGGACGCACTCGAGAAATGTGAGTAGTTTGAAGAAGTTGGAACCACCACTAAGTGGTATATGTTTTACGCCCTTCATATGCAGTAGTACCCTGCTTTGGTGCTTTTGTTCAATATTCGCTTTGTCTGTAACATTGTTTTATCAAAATGACTGCCAAAGTGCGGTGGCCTGTCCAGTCATTTGAAGAGGTTGGAACCACCTCCACATGTTTAAGCCCTTCACAAATAGCCTATACCCTGCTTTGGTGTCTTTTCGAATACGAAATGGCTGCCAAAGAGCTTTGAAGAGTGGTGGCCACTGCCCTGTCCAGTCGGTTGGCTGGTGGATACGGAGCATTAGCCTGTTTGAAGAGATAGTCCAGAACACAGCTAGCATGTGGCCTGCCTGCATCATGGGCCAAGGATGCTAAGTTAACACCAGCTAAGGGCCCTCTACAATGCTAATAGCCTTGGAGGACCTTGTTGAAGTCTGTTTGTTTAATGTATTTAAAACAAAAGGAAAAAGGGACAAAATGAGAATAGGCCTTGGTCTGTGTGTGAGACTGTTGTGTCTAGTATGATCCCGGTCCTTGAGCTGTGTAGTGAAAGACATGTTGACTCACCCCTTAGGGCATAGGGTGCCATTTGGTAAGCAGACTGTTTAGAGCACTATTTTTAACCAGAGGGTAGTGCACTATATAGTAGGGATGTAACAATTCACCGATATGCATCGGTCGCCGGTTTAAATGTTTAAGATATGAGTGCATCGGTCTGCGGGATCCCAAACCGATCCAAATGTAGCATGCATCTGTCAGAAAATCCATTCAAATGTTCCGAATCGCCGGTTCGCTGAAATGTTTTGCTGAAATTACTTTCTACCTTCCGAAAAGACATAATCTTTTGTGACTACTATGCAGTTTGACCACTCTCCTTCAGTGTCGAACTAAGCATGTAATTATGTTGACAGTCATTGATCTACAAGTCATTTTGCATGCCGATCAACCCCAGGTAATATCAGTAGCCTAGTCAAATTGTGCGCTGTGCGTATCTTCACTCACTGACCAACGAGAGGTAGGCCTATTCCTAATCTGGCACATCTGCATGTGGTTTGCAGCTTTCAAATGATTATAAAATGACTTGTGAAATATTTGGCTTTATTAGTTGAGTGACAGCCAATATAATTTGCAAGGTTATTTTTACCAAATGTGCTGTTTACAATTGTGTTTTACTGGATCAGGGCTTACATTAGATTTTATGTAGATTGTTCAGGTACACCATCACTGATAGTTTTGGTAGTTTTGCTTGAAACAATCAGAATATATGGTCATTTTTAGACATACAGGAAAATATCATTTCAATCACTTTTGCTACCCGCACTGCATGGTTGAAGCAGGAGAAGACGAGAACAGAGAAGCTCATTCCAAGTCCATCAAAACTTCCAAATGGTCTAAACCAGTGGTCACCAACCAGTCAATTGCAATCGACTGGTCGATCTTCAAGGCATTACTAGTCGATCACCAAACATTTTTGTAGGAAAGCTTGCACTCCTTTTTTTATTTTATTTGTGTTGCACTGTTGGCGGTAGATGCACTTGATTCAGAAGTACTGCACACCGGGTAAGCAACGTGTTTCCATTTTGAACCATATAATTTGTCTGAAAAGATAAACTCCGGACTGGGAGATCTGTGGCTAAATCGAGTGTGCCCACTGCACTGGCCAAACAGATGGCTCAAATCACTGTGCCTACAGAGCTTCCATGACCCCGGCCACAGCTAAGTTTGATACTAGCCTAGGTAAGATTGAATACATTTTAAAACCAGGACCACAGAGAGACTGTCAAAGAATATAGCAAAGAGCTGCTGTTTTTATGAGTGAGTTCATGTTTAAGTTTTTATTCAGCACTGTCTACACTGTTTTTATTAAACACTATTACAAAACAAAATGTGCTTCTACCTAATTCCACTCGCTCTGCAGCTGCAATGAATTAGTAGCCAAGTTTATTGATGGCTCAGCATTTTTATTGTTAATAGCGTTGTCTATTTTAATATCAAAGAATATTTAACTTGCTCTGGTTATTGGAACAACATGAATTTGTGCATGAAGCAGATGTGGTGCGACTTGAGTTTCACCATCAGGTGGAAGACGGTGTACTCTCTCTGGTCAGTCTCACCAGAGGAAAGGAAGGAGAGAGCAGGGACCGTGAGAGGCAGACCCTCTGCTGCTTTCTCCCTCCCTCCTCTGAGACGTGTTTTCATAACAACTGGGAACTCGGAAATCTCTGACTTCAGACTTTAATTAGTGGGTTATGGTGATTTCAGATCAAAAGTGTGTGTGTGGGGGGGCTCATTAGCGCCGTCTCATTCACTGCCAGGTAAAACACAATTATAGGCTCTCAGAACCTGATTTGAAAGTAATCCCATCGTCATCATCCCCTATACACCAATCACCTCCTCCGAAACTCTGCATATGTATGTGCATGTGTAATGCATTACTGTGAATACATTGAATACATTGAGAGGTACAGTTGAAGTCGGAAGTTTACATACACTTAGGTTGGAGTCATTAAAACTTGTTTTTCAACCACTCCACAACTTTCTTGTTAACAAACTATAGTTTTGGCAAGTCGGTTAGGACATCTACTTTGTGCATGACACACGACATTTTTCCAACAATTGTTTACAGACAGATTATTTCACTTATAATTCACTGTATCACAATTCCAAATGGATCAGAAGTTGACATACACTAAGTTGACTGTGCCTTTAAACAGCTTGGAAAATGACAGAAAATGATGTCATGGCTTTAGAAGCTTCTGATAGGCTAATTGACATACTTTGAGTCAATTGGAGGTGTACCTGTGGATGTATTTCAAGGCCTACCTTCAAACTCAGTGCCTCTTTGCTTGACATCATGGGAAAATCAAAAGAAATCAGCCAAGACCTCAGAAAAAAATGTGTAGACCTCCACAAGTCTGTTTCATCCTTGGGCGCAATTTCCAAAAGCCTGAAAGTACCACGTTTATCTGTACAAACAATAGTTTAGAGATGAACGTACTTTGGTGCGAAAAGTGCAAATCAATCCCAGAACAGCAAAGGACCTTGTGAAGATGCTGGAGGAAACAGGTACAAAAGTATCTATATCCACAGTAAAACGAGTCCTATATCAACATAACCTGAAAGGCCTCTCAGCAAGGAAGAAGCCAAAACCGCCATAAGAAAGCCAGACTACGGTTTGCAACTGCACATGGGGACAAAGATGGTACTTTTTGGAGAAATGTCCTCTGGTCTGATGAAACAAAAACAGAACTGTTTGGCCATAATGACCATCGTTATGTTTGGAGGAAAAAGGGGGTCGATTGCAAGCCGAAGAACACCATCCCAACCGTGAAGCACGGGCGTGGCAGCATCATGCTGTGGGGGTGCTTTGTTGCAGGAGGGACTGGTGCACTTCACAAAATAGATGGCATCATGAGGAAGGAAGATTATGTGGAGATATTGAAGCAACATCTCAAGACATCAGTCAGGAAGTTAAAGCTTGGTCGCAAATGGGTCTTCCAAATGGACAATGACCCCAAGCATACTTCCAAAGTTGTGGCAAAATGGCTTAAGGACAACAAAGTCAAGGTATTGGAGTGGCCATCACATTTCTACATTTTAGTCATTTAGCAGACACTCTTATCCAGAGCGACTTGCATTATTTTTTATACTGTCCCCCCAT